ATAACATTCAAAAACCAGTGGGAGAACACTTTAACCTGTCTGGTCACTCAATGACAGACCTGCGGGTGGCAATTTTGCAACAAAAAAGCTTCAAAAACAGACTCCAACGAGAAACTGCTGAGCTTGAATTGATATGCAAATTAGATACAATCAACATAGGCTTAAATAGAGACTGGGAATGGCTGAGCCATTACAAACATTGAATCTCTCTCTCCATGTAAGTACACTCACACTTCTTATCAAACTGTCTGTACTGGGCTATCTTGATTATCACTTCAAAAGGTTTTTTTCCCCCCCTCTTACTTAATTGGCCTCTCAGAGTTGGTAAGACAACTCCCACCTTTTCATGCTCTCTATACGTGTATATATATATCTCCTCAATATATGTTCCATTCTGTGCATCCGAAGAAGTGGGCTGTAGCCCACGAAAGCTTATGCTCAAATAAATTTGTTAGTTTCTAAGGTGCCACAAGTACTCCTGTTCTTTTCGCGGATACAGACTAACACGGCTGCTACTCTGAAACCGGTAACAGAACAGAAACATATGTTTTAATATGCAAGGTTAGACATTCCAACGGGAAGAAAAGACCAACTAACTGATTCTATTTTGAAATACATTTTGAATTTGGTTCCTAACCTTTGCGATCTCTTCCCCCCCCCCTTTTTTTTTTTTTTTAATAAGAGAAAGACAAATATTTCCCCATTTGAAGAGGTTTACCTGATTATAGTGCAAACGGTTGAACTGGATTCCCCAGTCATAAGCTTTAAGTTCACCAGTTTCAATTGCCTAGAGTAAAAGATTAAAATCAAATTTATATATATATTAGTAAACATAATTGTGATCATTGTGAGAAAAAGATAGGTTCATTACTTCATACATTTGCAGATTTTTCACATGTAGAGGTTAATAATTCCCTCTGCCTTAAAACCTGAGGGAGTGAAATACAGACAGACAGCAGTTGAAGGAAAACTGGGTTGTCATATATACCCCAAGGCAACTGGAATGGATGTAGCAGAGCCAATCTGGTGCTTCTAAACAGATATATGGCCACAAGTGGAAAGTATTTAAAATATATGGTGACACCATGTTTACTCTGCTATATCTATCTATAATGTAAATAGCATGACAGAAAAAAATTGATATTTTGTTTACTGCAGTCTCATGTATTCTGGTGTGGGTTGGCAGTCAATATCAATTTGCAAGATAATTAACATTTTACTCAAGGGAAAAAAAACCTAAGGTTTTGTCTACACTACTGTGATAAGTCAACCTAAATTACGCTACTCTAGCTACGTGAATAACATAACTGGAGTCAACATAGCTTAGGTCGACTTACTGCAGTGTCTACACCACGCTGCATCGATGGGAGATACTCTCCCATTGACTTACCGTACTCTTCTCGTTCCAGTAGAGTTTTAAGTCGACCAGAGAGTGTTCTGTTGTTGATTTAGCGGGTCTTCAACAGACCTGCTAAATTGACCCCCGCTGCATCGATCACAGCAGCGTCGATCGCCAGTAAGTGTACATGGCCTTAATAGCAGTGCTGCCCTATAAGATTTCTATGCATTTAAGGTATTTTCATGACACTGCCAACGGTCTGTTTTGCAAAATATACTATGCTAGGCCATTAAGG